ATTTTTTCCCGATTTACTAGATGCCTTACATGAAACGAGTTTGATCAGTTCAGTCCCATTTCCCAGGTGACAAATGGCCTGTGGTAAAAATTCCTCGTTTAGTGGGTGCTGAGTTTTGTCATCAGTCTCGTGGGAGAGGCCAAAGACTGTGGGAATGGGGAGAGAGGGCTGTATTAAATTGTCAGGGCAGGGCACGAGGAGGAAGCACGTCTGAACGCCCGGCTCGCGTAACAGTCTTTCCATTGACCGAGAATCTGGTTGCTAGGCTGCCGGACCCCTTTTACAAGCAGCAGAGTCATGCTATTGTTTCCTAAATGGTTTCAATTTTATGCAGGAACCTCTTTACATCCTTTCTATATATTTTAAATATTTTACTAGGCACGTAGTAAAACGACTTGCTCTTGCTCTGCTCAAGTTGGTGAACAAAAGAAAGTGCTCCTACTTTATTCTGGCAAAAAGTGAGTGTTTCAGGGTAGCCCTGCAAAGAGTGGACTCATACCAGCCTTCCATCCGGGCAATTAGCATGCACTCATGAGGGGAGGGGACCATTGTTTTGGATTTCGCAGGTAGTAACGCAGACCCCACATCTTAGGGAAGTGCACTCATCAGTGGGTAGTAGAGAGGAGGAAAAGGAGACCAGGCAAAGGCAAAGCTCTGTGAGACAGCAGTGCTCCCCATTTCAGCCTGTCCATGGAGGTACTGAAGAAGTGAGGTCATCAGCCTTTAGATTTTGGAATCCCCAGTAAGCAAAAAACAAGGCTTAGACACAGTTTAACTTTGCAGCTCCTCTATCAGCAGGAACAGCTGAAGGAGTTAACTGAGTGCAGTGTCCAGTTCTGGTCCCCACAGTTCAAAAAAGATGACTCTCCAGCAGATAAGCTGGAGAGAAAGTGCTAGGGAGGCCACAGTGATGATCAAAGGACTGGATTCCTTATGAGGACAGACTGAAGGAATTATGTCTGTTCTCCCTGGAGAAGAGAAGGCTTGGGGTGAACTCATCATAGTATTCCGGTACTTAAAGGGCAGCTGCAAAGAAGATGGAGGCTATCTCTTCACAGGGAGCCTCATGGAAAACACAAGGTGCAACAGGCACAAGTTGGTTGGGAGAGGTTTCATCTCGACATAACAAATAATTTTTTTACAGTGAAAACAATCCATCACCTGGAACAACATCCCATGGATGACTCCCCATGACTGCAAGCTTTCAAGATGCAATTGGACATAGTGGTAGATGATCTCATCTAGACTTCCTTTCCCATGGAAGGTTGGACCAGATGATCTTCTGAGATCTCTTCCAACATGGGCTGTTCTGTGATTCTGTGGGTTTGATGAACAGGCAGTCTCTAAGCAGGCTTTGCTCCTCAGGAAAATGGGTGTGGAAAAATACCTCTCAGTATATCTGGCCTTCTGTGTTTCTTGCCTTGAGACTATTGCAAATAGATAAAAGTGATCTCTTCTTTAATCTGTCTTCATTGATCCTACAGCTTAGAGAATGAGGTACGTGAGGGCACTTTATTAATGGAAATGTCTCTTTATTTTCAAGAACCCACAATATGAACAGAATAAATAGAAATTTAGCTTGGACTTTTCTGTGGGACAATTGAAGTAATGAAAAACCAATAAAAGTAAATTTTTTAAATTCCATATTTTGACTTTAAAGAGCTTCTCTGACTAATTGCAGTCTTCTGGACTTTTACAAGTAAGTTTCATTGTGTTACAAGCTGTTGCAGTATGTGGTCTTCTGAAGCCTGCATGCTCTCTCTCATCACAGCACCAACAAAACAAAACAAAAAAGGACTTGAGAGATTTTCCCTGTGCCAAACACCATGTTCCTTCTATCAAAACAGCTAACAACTTTCCTCTGGGATTTTTATACAAATTTACTTCCAATTTGAAATATCTTCCTTTCAAAGGAAGTTTGTCTCCCAGCTTATGATTTATGCAAAACAGCATTGTGCTTTGAGACGGGGGAGGCACCAACAGCAAATGTCCATCAGTAGAAATAGCTTGCCAGCAAGGTTCCCTCTTCTTAGCTAGGACCCCCCACTTTGAGCCTCTCATGCCTCTTTCCAGGTATGTGTGTTGAAGTAGTCCAAGTGTTCCTCTGCAGGATTATTCTCACTTGTTTTCTGAAAATAGTCTGTTTCCCGCAGTCTGGTATACATTGAAAGCAAATATCTCTATCTGAGCTCTCTTCTAGTAGTTTCAGTGGAAAAGTATTCATTGTGAGGAAACGGAATCAACAGGCAGGCTGTTTCAGCTCCTTCCCTCTACATTATCCTGAGGAGTTTCGGAGAGATTAACCAGAGTTCACAAACACAGAGGCTGATGGAAGGTCAGGGTGTTGTTGCCTGGGTCTCTCTCTCACCTAAGTCAGCTGCACTTCAGAATCTCCCTGTGATGGGGCTTGTTTCTGATCAAAGTAAATTTGTCTCCAGTTTATTATTAGCATGAGATCCTCTTCTTGGTCCAATGCTTCCTAGCAACCTGAGTGCGTGTTTGTCAGTTTGCTTTCCATAAGCCTGCAGAAACAGAGTACTTGGTGAATTAACCGACACCCTTGAAAAGATAACGATAGGAGAAATGGCCAAGGCCATTTTGCTATATATTAAGGCACTTTGCTATATTAATGTGATCCAAATCTGGAGTGCCAGGAGACTGTGGGGTAACCAAGAAGGGGTACGTGAGAAGGGAACTGACTGTGCCCTTGGGGATGGTGCCACCCAGCTTGTCTCTGGCCTGGGTACCCTCCTCTTGGGATGCAGCAAGGGGTGTTCAGTGCTGACAGTCCTACCCCCTGTCCCCTTGGAGCTAAATGTGTCTGTCACTGCTTCTCTTTAAAAATGAAGCAATGAAAAGGATTTTCCTTCAAAGCTCTGAACTGAGCCCAGACACCTTTCTTCCTTCTTGGGGTGTCAGTTCTTTCATTGAGCATCACCCACTCTCTTGGCTTGGCTCCCTTTGGTTCTTGGGGGACCCAATCCTGCAGCTTTCAGGAGCCTTTCTTAGCTAGCAAGTTATAAACTGTTTCAGAGACTCTTATTCCCTCTGCTGAAGTTGCTCCATTTTAATTGTGAGTGATGACAGACTAATGAGGCCTGAAGGACAGAACACATGGCAGTGCACAACTGAGCAAGGGCTGGGGCACAACTGGGCAGAGCAGCTGCCTCTGCCAGCTATTTCTGTATCAAATAACCATTGCTGGGTCTGGAGACCAGCTCTTTGCTCTCTCTATTCACAGTGCTAAATCACCAAGCCGGAGTTGTCTCTGTCTGCTCTGCCCAGCCCTGTCAGTGTTTAATTAAGCCCAACAGCTTCAATGGGAGAGAACAAACACATCCCCCTCCCCTCCCAAAAAGCCTAGGGTCTGAGGTGTGCCTATCCCTGAGGAATGGGGTGTGTGGGGCCTGAAGTTTTGTGTGCTCAGAATCAAAACAAAATGGGGTTTCAATATTGGCTGTGGCCCTTGTGCATAGGGCAGAAAAGGGCTGCTCCCTCATCCTGCTGTTTTTGGTGCTCCCTTTGCACAATGCTCTTCCTGTGGTTACAAAATGTTATATTTTGTTATATATACAAGCCCTGTGTAATTGGGCTACTTCTTAACTGAATGGCATAATCTTTGCCTCAAGTTCATTTTTTGTTTTATTTTCACATTAGACTAATTTATTTTAAAGAAAAAAATAATTAAAAAGTCTTTACCATTTCCTGAAATTTTTTTCTCATTTCCAAAGCAGGTGGTTATGTAGAGCTGTGATGCCTCTGTGGTACTGGGTAAAGATTTAAGATTTGCTACAGGGATAATATTGAATGCTATCATGAATACCGTGAAAAAGTGTGAAGTGTTGGTCAGTTCATAAATCTTAAACAGTCATTGCTTACATAGGGGAAGGATTTGTAAAGGATTTTTTCTTAAAATGTCTGAACCTTTCCTTAGTCCTTAATTTACTTCCCAAGCTCATACATATCGTCAAAAAGGCAGGCAAATGAAAAATTGGTGGCCATGCTGTTCTGCTCCCCCACCCATCTGAGCTTGTGGGAAAGATGCTCTCCAGGGAAATCCAGGAGCTCTCTTATGCCCACCAAATGCTTGTAGGTTTTACAGCCCTTCCCTGGACCATGGCCTTATAAACACACCTTGAAAGACAAGCAGGTGCCCTGCCCCCATTTTACAGATGGCTTAACAGATGTTGGAAAGTATCATTAGAAGCAGAGCTCTGGATTAGGTGTATGTCCAAAGCATAGCCCTAAAAAGCCAGGTGGCCTTGCAGAAGTCTCCTCACGCCCAGATGTCTGCTCCTGCTGCCTGAAACTGGGGACACCCACCTGGGCCAAGGAGCAGGGAGCAGGAGCTGGGACCTGCACTCCCCTTTGCCACAGGTGCATCCTGGCTGCCAGCCCTGGCTCCAGGGCCAGCAGCCCTCCTCCACTGCCAGCAGGGTTTGCTCAGCCTTTCCATGTCTGATGCCAGTTCTGCTGGTTAGCCAGGGTCTGAAAAATTTCTAGGGTTTTGTTTAAAGAAATGAAAGCTAGAAAAATTTATTTCAAAGGTTACTTGGAAAGAGTATTTAATCACAGATTCGGGTAGGAGTATCTCGGAAGTATTTGATTTAAAGCTGTCCCAGAAATATTAATTCAGCTCACTTGTGCTGCTTCTTCTACTGATTTCCTTATCCCAGTCAGGGAACAGCATGGACAACAAATAAGATGAAATAATGACGTTCCCTGGCTATAGTTGCAACTCAGATAAAAATTCATATTGTTCAAATGTAATGGCAGGCAGGAATAGAATATTTAATGCCTTTAAGGACAACGTTTGTAATGCACAGATCATGTTTCCTCTGATAATTCCCAAAGTTTTTATACTTGCATTGGCAACCTGGCATTTTTCTAATTTATTTTATTTTTGTGTGGGCAGCCTGTACGTATGAAATGCCCCTATTTTCCCTGTTTTCCCTGTTGGTTAATACGTTGGCTTATGGTAGTGATTTTCAATATTACAGGCAAGAGAGGATGTGATCCACATGCTGAAGACAGAGAAAACTAAACCTGAAGTTTTAGAAGCTCATTATGGGTCTGCAGCTCCAGAGAATGTGCTCCGAGTGCTACACAGGGATGCCATCCTTGCCCAAGAAAAGTCTATAGGGGAAGACGTCTATGAAAAACCAATTTCAGAGGTAATTGATTTACAACATTATGTCTGGGCAGGGGGAATCCTAACCAGAGGTAAGACTCCACGTATTTTGAACATGTGCAAAGCACTCAAGAGGATAAAACAGAATTTGTACATTGACAAGAAATCAAAGAAAGTCTTGTTCACTCAAATGCAGAATAATTTGTAAGTGAAGTCACTGGATTTGAACACAAACCATAAAGAAGTTGTATGATTCTTAGGGCTGGTGCTGTTAAGCAAGACCAAAATCTTCAGGTGTTACCTTCTGGTTTTTAAATTCCTCTCAATTATAGGCTTCAACCTCTATTGGTCACAGCTTTGGTAAGCACTCTTTGATTTTCTTGGCATGCAAGACCATTATCATGTGGGTAGTTAAGAAAAGAAGACCTTTGGAGATTGACTTTGACACGATTTATGGGATCATAAATCCATATTCACTTTACATCACTTAAAGCTCTAGAACTCCAAAGTCAGTTCAGCCCCTAAAAGAGACCTATAGGACTTGACCCCTTGCTTTAAAATATAAGCAATAAATGAATGTAGAATAGATCTGGGAACGTCTGAGGCAGTGTGAATGCCAAAATAAACAGCCACTGCTCATGTTTATAGTTTTATAATAGTCCAGGGCATGGAGAAAGAGCATGCAACAACATACTGTAGTGGCTGCCCAAATCTTCACATTGCCTCCTATTAGAACATTTGATTTGTTCACTAGGAATTGTGTCTACCATGGGATATCTTTCACTGTTTATTCTCACTGAAGCATCTCCTAGAATTTTGGGGTTGACAGTAAATAGGGAAAGCAAACCAACCTTAGTATGTGGGAGCATGCAAACAAAACCTTAGCAAGGCCTTTTTCTAATGAAGCTGATAATTTTACAGGGACCTCAGTGAAAAAAGTAAAACTTTGTCACGTGTAGGTTCACAAGGGTCATGTTGAAACTAAAATAGAATGGTGACAAAATTAAGTGCAAAAGATCTACTCTCAAAAGATCAACCAAACCTGTCTCCTTTGTAAAATGCAATGACTGTTTGACTGCTACAGTCAGTTCCTGGAGATCAAATTGCCAGAGTCCTCCTGCTCTCCTAAGTCCCTTAGTTTGCTGAGGCACCCTGTGAAACAACAACTGCCCGGTGCAGCTGGGGCCAAGGAAGATGGTAAGGGCTGGGGGTGGGCAGAGCAGGCTCAACCAGACACCATGCCATGGAAGGACAAGCAGAAAGGGCTGTGGGCTGCTTTGGCAGGGAGGAGGATGGAGTCTTTTATCTGCACCCAAGAACCAGCAAAAGCAGCAACATGAATAGCCATGGTGTCTTTGGAGTGCCCTGGCATCTTTTTAGACACACCTTCCTGGCCTTAGTGTTTGTTTGGATAATAACTGGCATATTAAATTAATTAAAAAAATTACAGAAGGCAAAAAAGGTAAAGTGTTGCAAATAAAGAAATATAATTTCTGTCAAAAAACAGGCTGAGAGGAAACCCCTAAGGCTTTGAATGAATTGTATTTGGTAATGTAAAGCTGAATATGTACTGAATCTAAATAGATTATCTCAGCAGTTTTACAGGTGTGCATTAGTCTAATTTCAGCCTTGAGATTACACTTTACACTCTACATGTAGGTGTCTAGTCCCCATATAGGTGCATGAACTCAGTCTCCCAGGGTCTGAGCTACAGCTTTTCCTGGATGAAATTAAAAAAGTGTGCACAGCACCTCACCACAGGGGACATTCTGCACTGCAACAAATTTGTTACCCTAAAACTAAGTGCAGTTCTGCCCTTTGTGTATGTGAAAACTGTGCAAACGTTTATTGCTAATATGTCATCCAGATAAATCATTACTTTCACAGGACAGTTATTCTTATTTCTAGTCACTGCTTTATGTAAAGCCCAGGATGTAAAATCTATGGGACTCACATTTACCAAACAGAACACTGTTGGTTAATAAATCAGATGAAGTAATCAAGGAGACCTTTAAAACAGTCTGTTCTCCTCTCCTACAATCTAGTTAGACAGACTTGAAGAAAAGCAGAAAGAGACATATCGGCGCATGCTGGAACAGCTCCTGTTGGCAGAAAAGTGCCATCGTCGGACAGTTTATGAGCTGGAAAATGAGAAACATAAACATACAGATTACATGAACAAGAGTGATGACTTTACCAACCTCTTGGAACAGGAGCGGGAGAGGTGAGTACCTGTGACAGTGCAAAGACCATACCCAGTGTCCCCAGTGTTTGTCAGTTCAGCAGTGATTTGGTCTGGTATTTTCTGTGTTCAAATGACACTAAACTTACGTGTTAACCATTTGTAAATGTTAGTCCACCCGTGTTATCAGTAAGTACATTACTGTGCAAACCTAGAGCTGGAGGAATAGCATTGAATGTTCCTGTAGTGTGCACTTGAATTAAGAAATGGATTAGTTTTGAATTAGTCATGCCCGTTTTGGGTTCACCTCCAGGTAGCTTTTGATCAGATGTTGTTTATGTCGGCTAAGTTTGGGACTGGCTTGCTTAGCTAAGTGCTACATTTCATGAAGGTCAGAGCACTGTTGTCGCAGGAGGAGGACAGGGTAAGGAAAACCACAACACGTATTAGGACACTAGCACACAAGTGGTGGGACTTTGCCATGCCCTTCACATTTAGGCTTGAAAAGTGACAAACCATTTGCATTCTTTTTAATATCTCTGAAGACACATGCCTCAGGCAAGTTCTCTGTTCCCCTGGAAGAAAATATTTTCATGTTTTAAAAAATGTGCCTAGCCTGTGGTATCTGCAGTGTTTATCTCACAGTCTATACACTCCAGATTGTTTTTTCCAAGTGTTTATCGTGCTTGAGGGAAGAGTCTCTGTGTCTCTAAGAAAAGAAAGATCACCAACCTTAGGTGAAGACTGAGTTTTTCTACGTGAAATTTTCATGCTCATACCAAATTGCTTGAAATCAATACACGATGTTGTGTTTCTTTTTAAAAAAAAAAAAAAGCTCAGAGAAAAATACTTAAGGCAAGTTCAAAGAAGAAATGCTGTTGAGGAAACCACAGGCTTGTGGCAGTCATTTGCAAAAAGCCAGGAGCGAAATTGTTTGGTGTATTTCCTGAGCTCAGTTCAGCGCCAGCTTTGAGTAGGTGGCACATGAGCTACAGCGACCATATTTCCTGGTTTAATAGCTGTTATTTTTCTGTCTCTGTTTTCCTGGGTTGATTGGCAAACTTTAAAGGAAAAAAATGCTTCTGTATCCTAGCAATTTGTTCTCACAGTTAAAAATAAAAAATGTGTTTTTATTTCCAAGTAAAGAGCAATTTCACATCTGATTCTCACAGCTGCCATTTTCTCTCTATGCTGAATATCCATGTACGTGTGGAAATGCAGCTACTAAAATGCTACAAAAGTAAAAGTGGTATTAAAATATCATTTACATTTGTCTTTACATTTTATATTCACATTAATTTGACAATTGTTGCCTTCTTATTTTTCCCTCTCAATTTGTGAAGGCCACTAAATGGTCTAAGATTATGACCTGGTTTGAACTGACTTCCTTCAATGAAATGATTAAAAAGATTTTTGTCTTACATTACTACTGCTATCAAGAGATCAAGTCTCATCTCTGTGGGCATTTTCTCTTACCCTTTCTGCTCTTTCAAACTTCAGGTTTTCTACATTTTATGATTTTTGAAAAAACAGTAATAATAAAAAAAGAGAATTTGAGTTTGAATTTCTCCTGAAAGCAGATCTTAAGTGCAACTAAGCCCACTGGCTTTAGTCACCAGTGCCTCTGTACTGGTGGCTGCAGGGGAATAACTGCAGTGATGAAGCCCTTTTGATATATGTTGAGTAACACCAGAAACCTGATGTTTGCTATTTAATCCACTTTGTTTGTCTATGGCACTGGTGTGTACAAGTTAGTAGCCACCAAGTAGAGAGGATATGGCATTTAGATAAACATGGAAAATCAAGATGCACCTTCCTCCCTCTTCTGGGAGTCCTCCTCCCAGATCACTCACAGAGCAGATTAGCAAAATCAGGATGGCCTGTAAACCACTTATTAACATAACATTAAAGGATCTCAACTCCTCACCTTTGCTTGCTGAGTACACATGAAACCAAGGCTGCCCCCACATCTTTGTAGGTATTAAAAACTAGAAGTAGTATTGTTTGAGGGCTATATTCACAAAGAAAGGAAGAAAGAGTGATGGGATGACTTCTTAGGAAAGCCCCAAACTGACAGTAGATTTTGACAAAGAGTTTGAAGTGTAAAGATTAGGTTGCAGTAGGATAAAACATACAAAAAACTCCCAATCACCTAATCTGCATATTGGGACAGAGAACTGACCTGTCCTAAGGCATTTTTCAAGGTCCTGCACAGCATTCTTGTTTTATAAGTACCACTATGTGTATAACTCATTTTACTGTGGTGCTTTGAGAGTTATTTTATTAAGAACTGAACAGACTTGTAGTCTCCATGAAAATGAAAAGGGACACAGAGGTGAACTTTGCCCGTCAGCCACTCTGCTGCACTCACAGTTATAATGTTAATGAGACAGGGTGAGCCGGAGGAAGAACAGTGCTGTGGGATGGCCATCTCACAGCAGTCTGCTACAATGAGAGCAGTAATAATTCCTGTCCTGAATCTAAGTAATTTCAGTGTTTTCTTTCCTCACAGTATTTTATCAACCTTTCCTAACCATTGCCCACATCAGCTTTTGTAGGCCACATCTGCTTTTGCTGTCTTGTGAAAGTTAGAACAAAGGAAAAAGGGGAATTCTCTAAGAGAGGAAATATGCCTGAGTTCTAATGTATGTCTAGCACTCTCTTAATGTATTTACTTTGGAATATTTTTTTACATACACTTTCATACATTATCTCTAATCCACCTACAACAACATGATATGAAAGCAAACCATTCCTACGAGGGACTAATTGTTAGGTCAGCCTCGCACAGGAAGGAAGTAACAGGAAAACGTGATTTGTCAAAAATAATTGTGCATGAGAAGTATAAGAAAGTGAACACTGTACTCTGGGATATTCAAAATGTAGACAGCTGGGAGGGTAAAGGGAGAAAGCTGGAAGGCCTGGCTGTTGGTATTGGCTCTGCAAGACCAAGTGCAACTGACCTGAAGAAAGATTGTGGGAAAAGTTGGTATGTTACAGGAAAAGAGTAGTGACAACCATTTGCCAGATGGAGATGAAAGAAATCTGGTAGTTTTAGTGGAAGGTGCTTCTGCAGGCATGGTGGCCAAAGTGTTTTGCTAATTTCCCTAGTGTATGCTATAATAATATCTAATGATGTTTGAAAGTTACAGACAGTATTCTCTATTTTTCTATACGACCAAATTTCCCTTTTCAATGCTTGCCCTCAGCTGCTGTTCCTGTAACATCAAGTTGTCCTTGATCATCTCCTATCCCCAGGAATGCAAAAGCAGACATCTTTCTGGAGCCTCCTGAGGAGGCTGAGAAATACAGAGAGGAGCTGGAGGCCCCTCTCAGAGATCTTGGGTGGCAGATGGTGGGGTAAGGAGTCTCTGCTCTGACAGATGGAGAGTGAGGGGTCTGGTCAGAACTGCCACTGACAATGTGGCTTGCAGTGGACACATGGAGACCAGGAGACCAGGCATGAACAGCAGCCTCAGGGATAAAATTAGTCTTCCTAGTGCAGAGAGCTTGTGGTCTGAGTTTGGGCTGAGCTGGCTGCAGTTAAACCAGCTATTGGTATTTCCCCACTCCAAAAATTCATGTGTAAAGCAGGCTTAAGATGAAATGGTACTTGATTGTTCTCTGTTCTGCCTTGTCCCAGCCCTCTTGCCTTCCCCTTTAGATAACTGGTATGGGTGGGGGGAATCTTTAGGATCAATTATAAACTTTTTCATTTGATCAGCAGGGCTTTTTGTTCTGGTGGAAAAGGGTAGAGCTCTGTGTAACCTTAGCACTTTGACTTCTTGATTGACCTAGGAGATGAGGTTTAAAATGCTGACATTTTTAGAGGTGCTAATCTCTGAGGAATTTGTCTTGTACCCTTCTTTTAATCCCGTTTGTTGACAGCACATTTTGCTGCTATTAAAATCACTGGAAAGTTCCCACTGATTTTAACGGTTCAGAAACAGGCTTGCTGTGAGGACCACTGCCATCCAGGACCGACTGAAGAAATAGCCTGAAAGACTTCAAAAATGGGGGGAGGGCAGAGTAGGGAGTTTCTTTTATTAGCACGGGAAGTGGGCTGCCGAAGAGAGGGTGTGATGTGGCAGAAGGGCTTTGTTGGAGCTCTGTCATGGGGGATCTGTGTGACTGCTTGGTGAGTTGTTCGATCATTTCCACCGTGACCCGTGAGACTGCTGAGACTCTGTCACCCCACCACACAAGGTGTCAGTAAATATACACCCAGTGTCTGTGTTGTTTGTCCTAAAGCATTGATATTATGCTTAGCCATGTTTCATTGTAAGACTTAATTGAAGTGATGAGGATTTTAAATTGGTTCTTGCTTTCCACGCTGCTTCAAATTATTCTTTACAACCACAGAGACAGTGTTCCCAGTGCACTGAAGCATTTCATGTTTTTCTCAAAGGCAAGGCCGAGGATTCAGTCTGTACTTCCTAAGCATTGCCCTGCTAAATCTGGTTTTAGTTAAACCCTCCTTTTGAAGAACATGGCCATAATTAGATCTGCTTAGAGGAGACAGCAAGACTGTGACCCCAGATCTTTCCTCCACAAAGTTTCCTTTCAGTCTTCACGTAAAATTGTCTCCTCTTTGCTTCCCCCATCACAGCACCCCCAGCAAGGAATGCACTGGCAAGTCCCTCACAGGGCTGTGATAATACATTCCTCTTGGCTTCGGTCATCCTGGCACAAAGATGCTCTTGGCTTCTCTGCTGGTGATGTAATTCTGGGCCTGCATCACCTGCAAAGGAAACTGATCTGCGAGAAATAAAGCATACAGCGGTCTTGAAACAAAGATGAGAGTGTTGATGTTAACAAGTTTTTTAAATGCTTTTTTTCCTTTCATACATTTCTGCTTTTATTAACAAATTTCCCCTTCTGCCTTTTCCCACAAGACGGCAGCACCAAGTCTTTCACTGGGAAGTGCTTGCCTTTTTGTTTCCCTCTATTTCATGGACCTAAGCAACTGCAAAGGCTGGAGTCTAATACTGCTTGGAGATGTTATGTGTGTTATCTTTCCAGTTTGTATTTTCTCATTATTT